TTATTTCGTGAATTATTTTTTTTTTCAATATGTTAACTTGATTTATAAAGTTACTCTAAGAAAAATATTACTTAAAAAATAATATCTTTAGCTTTGCCTTCTCCTCCCTCCTAATACTGTTCCTTGTAGGATGACATTGGAGAGGTTTCTCAATCTGGTTACTGGATTATAACAATTCAGCATCCTATAAGCTGAAGTGCTATATATATATATATATATATATATATATATATATATATATATATATATATATATATACAGTGTAACCTGAATATAAGAGAGATTTTCTCTGGTCCCAAATTAGAGCCTGTGTTAATGTATATAAAATAGACCAAACCCGGATATAAGAGAAACCCGGATATAAGAGACTTCTTCTTCAGTCCCGACAACTCTCTTATATCTGGGTTATATATATATATATATATATATATATATATATATATATATATATATATAGATAGATAGATAGAGATACAAACATATATATATACATACAAACATATATATATACATACATACATACATACATATATATATATATATATATATATATATATATATATATATATATATATATATATATATATATATATATATATATATATATATATATATATATATATATATATACATACATACATACATACATATATATACATACATACATATATATATATATATATATATATATATATATATATATATAATAAAATATAGTTAGAATGCATGCTACATTTATTAGGTAAAGTGCTCAATATCAAGGATAGAGCATATGTAAATATAAAAGTGGACATTGTATGTATATATATATATATATATATATATGTGTGTGTGTGTGCGTATATATATTCAATGTCCACTTTTATATTTACATATATATATTATAAATATAATAGAAAGAAAACATCCATTAATCAGAAGACTTGATTGAAAATTTTTACACTTTATTTATTACTTTCAATAATCTATCAGTGGATACTGAGCACTGTAATTGCAAAAACTGCTTGTCATAAAAATGTTATCTCTCAGAAAGACCCATTTCATATTGTAACACAGTGTGGCACTGGTAAATGAAAAAAAGACTAAGTTGAAGATATGAGCTTGGAACAGATCGAAAAAAGGTTAAGTTAAAATGTGGGTTGAAGGGAGAAATAGAGAAAATACACTCAAAGACAATTGAGAATTTTGGAAATGAAGCAGAAAGGAAAAAAAATAATTAATGACTATCTACAAGAAGTGCCAGTTACAAAAACAACAACTGAGAGATAAAATTTGGTAATTTCAAAAGGAAGGCAAATGGAAAAAAACTGATTTATGCTTACTACCAAAAATTAGAAGACTGTAAAAACAATCACAGAGAAAGGATTTTATAATTTGCCTAAATTAAATTAAGATATGAAGATTATGGTAAAAGAGAAACATCTAGTTAATTTCTGATTATACAGACAAGACTCCAAACTGGGAAGAATGTGCTGACAACAATTAAAGTAATAAATATGATTAATGACCAAAAGGTAAGTCCAACCCATTCACACATGAAGTTTAAAAATCAAATTTGTCCAGATGACAACTGAGGTGAGAGACTTAGGTGAAATAAAAAGAGAGACAGAGGGATTTCCTCAACCCATTTGCAGGTAATGGCACGAGACACAAATAAGAGAAAGAAGTTAGTTAATGGAGCAGGTTAGTACCTATGACCACTGCACATGGAAAGGGGATCTCCCAAATTTGGAGAGATAATTAATTTTCCACAACCAGACAACAAAGAACTCTTGTTGGAAAGCCTGGAATCCCCAAATACTATCAGTCCCATGCTGATCTTGAGTAAAAGTCAATATAAGCAGAAGACTGAAGCAACCAAGCAGTTGCAGTTGGAAAAGCAGACGAGAAGAGATGACCACTCTGCCGAAGCCCATGTGACTTGCTACCAAAGAGAACTCTCAACTTAAGCCTTATTCCAGACTTAGATAAAATGAGCAAAGTGTCACGATAGAATTCAAAGTAGAAGGGGTTAATATTTCTGTACAAAGAACAATATAAACCACATAGAAAACTGACCCAAAGAATTTTCTGTCTTCTTTTATTTCATCTGCTAAGAACTTTGTTTATTTTTTTCCTTGTGATACAGTTTTGCTGTGGTTTGAACTAGCACTATGATTGCTAAAACCAACTCAGTCTTTGCCAGCTTCATGATCAAAAAACACAATGTGGGCAAAGCAGGATGTAGACCGGCACAATCAATTCAATGACCACCGGCATTAATTAACCATCATAAGAACTGATCAAGGACTGACAAGCGAGAAGTGTTATATATGTTTTTAGGGAAAAATGCTAATTTTGTTTTATATATATATATATATATATATATAATGGACTCTCCCGACGTATGAGGATCTGACAGCTTATTGATTCAGTTATGAAAGTTTGTTAAGTGGCATTTAAGACCTGCTAGTGATTTACAAAGGAGGCCACACATGGGGCAAGTGTGAGGCTTGTGAGATGAGATCACTGTTAAATTGGCTGACCTTTTAGATTTTGCTCTCACATATGCAATAATATATATAGCACACACACACACACACACACACACACACACACACACACACACACACACATATATATATATATATATATATATATTCTTTTCATAAAATTAGATAGAATTACAATTATGTAACCACATTTGAAATAATAATAATAATGTAGAACTATGGTACAAATTTCTGAAATTAGCACTGAAACTCTTTTGAGAGATAACAAAATCTTATGATTTATATTAATAAAAAATTAAATTTAAGAGATCATTTCAATGTCAGAAAAAGAAGTGTCCTAATTCCTAACTGCACAAATACTTCAGCAAAGAATTGCATTTCTTATGCTTTAATAAAATCTGCATTTCATATTCTTTGACAAAGAACTACATTGCATATTATGCGATAAAGAAATGAATTTTTTATTGTTTGGCATAGAACTGTTTTTCATATTTTTTGATGAAGAAATGAATTTCATATTAATCAACAAAGAATTGCATTTCTTATTCTCTGACAAAGAATTGCATTTCATATTCTTTGAAGTAAAAGAGACATCCAAGAGGATGCTTCCCCAATCACTACAATCTTAACTTCTTCTAATCTATGGCCAACTGTTATTTATTCTATATATCCTCATAATTTGCACATCTTACCTCCTCCTTTTATGTCCATAAAATAATATCATTCAGCAACCCTCTACAATGAGTGGCTCTTGGGCCTTCCAGTGTGTGAACAATAGTATAAAAAATATCTGAAAATGTCTAGGATTTGTACAATTAATATCTGATAAGTCAAGCACTGTATAACTGCATTTTTTTTTAATTCAGATTAAGAAATGAAAATTGTTTCTTTTCCTAAAAAGTTCATTTAGCAAAAGAGCTATTAAAAATTTAAGTTTATAAATATATTAGACAATCTAAGATCATTCTATAAAAAAACTTCCTGTATACACAGTCACAACTATTGTGTGTGTGTATTTGTATATTCTGGTAATAATAAATTATAAGGACCTACAAAACATTGTTGTGCTATTACTTGAATTCTTGTAAAATAGTTAACAAATTTAATGTGACAATATAATGAATGAAATGCTTTTGAAATCAACAATTTCATGATAGATTCTGTCTGGAAAAACAAAAAAATCAAAAAAAAATATCCTTTGTTGCATTTTCATGAAATCCAACAGAAAAATTAAATCTTAAAAACAATTCTTATGAATGTTTTAATTGCAAAATTATTTCTTATTGAATCACATAAACTTCTGACATATCTGGAAATCAACACAATCTAAATGATTTTTCACATTTTAACAAATATATTAAGCGTCTACATTCACATAATACATACAAATATATTAAAACAAGAGGGTAAGAAAGAGCAAGGATAAAACAAAAAATATTAGCCACAGTAAAGTGTGAATCAAAAAAATATAACAAATAAAGAAAAAAGAAAAAGCTAACTAGTTATTGCTCCTTGCTGTTCAGAGCTCAATCAAGGACAAAACTTATATGCACAATGACTAAAAATCTATAGAGGGGATATGAAAATATACGAACACATGTGACTATATCTAGTTCCATGGTTACAGAGAACTTATAAGTAGTTTGTGGCTCGTCTTATACCACAGATTTTTCACAAATGTCAACAGAGCACATGCAGATTGCCATTTGGGAATAATGTATGTCGAATCTGGGCAGCCTTCCTACTGTAAGGCAGAGGGAATGGTCCCTGGATCATGGTGTAGGCCATCTAGGATTCAGTGTGCTGATTCTCTAGTAGTGTTTGTTTTGTCCTTCAATGACTTTAGTCACACATATTTATGTTTTGTCATCACTTGAACTCTGAAGAGTGAGGAATACTAAACAATTAGGTTCTTTTTTTTGTTATATTTTTTGATTCACCACCTTATGGTGAGTAGTATTTTTCTTCTTACCCTTGCTGCAACTATTCGTTTTAATATATTGTATATCTTAAGTCAACATAAACTCTTTCAAAAGCTAAGTTTTTAAAGTCATAATAAAATGTTGTACATATCACAGATTATTTAGATTTGTCAATTATTGCATCATTGACCTCTGACTTAATATGTTGAGAAATTTGCGCAATTTAAATGATTTTTCACTAATCAAACCAACACCAAACAACTTATTAAGGAAAGACATATATCTATTTTTGCCATATAATGCCATAGACATGTTGGTAGTAAAATATATTTCCCTTATGAATTATAAAGTTTTAGATGCAGGATTTAATTTCTGGTTTCAAATATAAAATTAACCCACAGTTTAATATTTAAAATACATTATGATATATCTCCATTTAATTTCAGGTTAAAGCCAGAGAAGTTATTTGTTGTTATTTTTTTTTTACAATATTAGTAAGTGAAAGAGTTTACCATATAAAGAAAGTTTTTTTAAAATGTGACATGAACTCAAAAGTTATACTGAAGCAATAAATTACTTTACTCACCAGACTGATCTGCTTCAACTTCTGTAGAGTTCTGAGAAGTTGAGGGCTGCTCAGCTGAATTGAAATCTTCAATTAACAGGATGTTTTTAGTATCATTGTCAGCAATCTCAGGCTGTGTTGTAAAACTCTGAGAGGTCAATGGTTGAACATTTGAGCTAAAGTCTCCCAGTAAGATGTTTTTAGGACCACTGCTTTCAACAGGATGCTCTTCTGTAGGATTTTCAGTATCAGAAGACTGTGCAGTTGAACCGAAACCTTCAATTAATGGAATGTTTTTGGTATCATTACCATCATCATCATCTTCATCATCATCAATGTAAATCAAGTGATTAGCATGGTCACCATTATTAGCAACCATTTTAGTCCTGTCCTGTGAATGGACATCCACTGTGGTAACCTGTGACCCACTAGAAGGATACGGGTCCATAGAGGAAGATACGGAACCTATATATATAAAAAAAAAATCACTGAGACATGGCTGAAAGATATATATATATATATATATATATATATATATATATATATATAAAAATATATATATATATATATGTGTGTGTGTGTGTGTGTGTATAAGTGAATTCTGAAAAGATTTGAGATTTGAGGAAGAGGGTAAAGGTTAATTCTTTGCCTGATTAAAAAAGGATTAAAAACAACTTATGATGTTCAGTCATTTCTGTAAACGTACAACAGGTATCTCACCTAACTTTCCACCAACTGGTAAATGACTTATTATGTTTATTTTGGCCATGACAAGCTAACAGCACAGCTCTTCCTTTCGACTTGTCTTTTGACCAAAATTTTTATCCATCTTGACATCATGATGTGTGCTAGCAACACAAACAGGCAGCATCAAAACTACTTGAGAGACAGCCAGTTCCCCAAGGTTAGACCAAAACTGACTTCCTTAATCCCAAGCACAACTGTTGATATAGATGATAAACTGGAAACCAGTAACATCTGATGTTGGTGTCACTTGACCCCAACAACCTTCTTTTAATTATTTATTCATTTGTTTCTTTTTGATCAAGTGGATGCCACTTGTTAACCAGCCTTGAAATTAAGATAAAAGCACACTTTTTTTTCTATGTGGATGTCCTATTCATATTGTCACATTTGGTTAGAATTTTGGGAAGTGGGCTGAGTTAAGAACTTTTAAGTACTCCTCATAAATATGAAGATAATAAAGCTTTACCAGAATGACTCTCCAAAATTTCTTGTCCTTTGTTAGTAAATTTTATCTTTTTGTCTCCTAAACTCTGTTCTGCCATCCATTTACACAAGCTTGTTAGGTATGTTATGTGTTGGTTTCCTTTTTCTCTCATGCCATCAATACTGTGGAGTGAGTCAAATGCAAAATAAGTAACAGAATTGAGCAACAAAGAGAATTGACAAAATTTACAATAAGCAATTAACAAGAAAAATACAAGAACAGGGTACAAATTAATATAAAGCAAGCAAACAATATATGCAAGGCAAAGCAACAGTAATGTGGCAAAAAGTTGGGGGTTGACACACAAAAGAAAGCAAACGTAGCATTCTGAGTTCAAGACAAGACAGACCGAGACTGAGTCAGATGAAACTGTGAACCAGCCTATTTTATTGGCAAAGAAAAAATCCCAGCATGCATTTGCATGCTTCTGCCTATAAATTGGAGAGGGACAAATGTTTTGCAGTCATTCCTAAAGATTGAAATCAACAGTCCCATGAGTATCGAATTTTCTGAGCCCTCTATTCTCATTATGTGCCCTAGAAATTTTGTCTCCTGATGTTAAGTATAAATGTCCTTCTTGTTTCCATTCTTTTAAAAAAATTCATTGTTGCTAATATGTTCAGTTCATGTTATTCTCAGCATCCTTCTGTAGAACCACATTTCTGTTGCTTCAAGTCTCTTCTTCATCTGTGAGGAAATTATGCAGCATTCACTGCCATATAGGAGGACTGATATTATGTAACAGTTCAGTACTCTTTTCTTTGTTTCTAACAAAATTTTTCTGTTTCTTAATAACTTAGTTTCAGTAAAAAATGAGTTTATTTACATATTGGCACTTTTGCTTAGGCTAAAAGTATTTATGCACCTCTCAGCTGTGCACTCAGCCTAAGATCAAAATGTAAGTCCCTGGTCCAATGCTTTGGATCAGTATTAAACCTGTGCTGCACTTAACTTAGTATTTGCAAGTCAAGATGCAGCTCAAACAAGAGAATAATGGTGTAGTCGATATGGCTAAAAGCAAGTGTTAAAATTAGGGTAGAATCCACTTGCCATTTTATATATCTATCTTATTACAGCAAAGAGACACTGTTGGTTTCAAATGAATGCTAAAAACATTCCCTCCACAAATTTATAGACAAATTGCACAGATGCATGCTGGGATTTCTTCCTAACCAATAAAATGGACCACTCCTTGGTTTCCTCTGCCATATTGTTGCTCTTTCTTGTCTTAAAGACAGAATGCTACAAGCACTTGACTCTAGTATCTCTTTTATGTTAACATCATTCTTAATTTGTGAACTTTTGACTGATTACTGTGGTGTTGCCTAGTTTTATTTTGCATATATATATTGTCTGCTTAGTATTATTTTTACCCTGATATTTTCTTTCTTTTGTTATTGTTTATTGGAAATGTTGTCAGTTTCATTTGCTGGGTATTTTTGCTGATTAATTACATTTACTCATGGCCTCTACAATGACTGACAGAAATATACATTTCATCTGAGCATTTACCATGAAATATTGACAACCTAAAGAATGCCAGTGTAGTGGATATTTCATCTGCCTGGCAACCTCCAGATCAAATGTTCAAATCAGCGTAAAATCCATCTACTTGCCATTTTTATATATCTATCTAGAGTATACACCTCATCTGAACATTTGCCATGGAAATATTGACATCCTAAAGAATTGATGTTGGTCTGATACTTACCATAGTTATGTGACAATTTCTGTTCTATGATGGTTGGTGCCAGCTGTTTAGTCATATTGGTAGTGCTATTACATACATCCACTGTGCACGCTGTTTGTGTTGGCGCCATCTGGTGGCCAGAAGCACCGGATGATGATATCACAGGACTATTTGTGAGGTTAATGTGGCAGACATTGGATATGGTAGGAGTAGATCGTTGATATACAGAATAGCCAGCCAGTTCATTAACAGAATTTAAATTGGTTTCATTTGGTATATCTGAGGAAAAAATGAAATAAGAGAATTAAAGTAATTGGCAATAGTTAGAGTAAAATGACTAATAAGATAATTTTTCTAGTTGATGCATACGTTATCCCATGTAATAGATAGTGTGATCCCTCCTTAAAAATTCCTGGTAGTAGTGGACAGAGTAAATTCCTAATTCTTTTGTTTACTTCCGGCTAGCCTCACTCTGGGGTACAACCATTAACTCTTATTGTAATAGGCTTTACTAGAAATAAAGGTATAAAAAAACAAGCCTTGTAGTGAGTACTTAATTATTTCATAGTGGTAGCAGTGGGATTTACGGTACAAATATACCTACATTAGAAAATGATGCCAGCCATAGGGACTCCAACAAATTAGAGTTACACATGGTAAACATTTTAGATCACCAAACTGAAGTCCCGGTGAAGATAAACATCTAAGCACCAGGAAGGGGACAAAAAACAGTAAAGCTACTAAAAAAGGTAAACACGGGAGGAGAAGGAAATATTTTAGAAAAAAAGAAAGGGAAGATAGAGGAAGCAATAATAATCTCATATGTTTAACATCTGCTTCAGTGAAATGGAAAATTGTCTCAATTTCAATTTTTTTTTTCATTTGTACCCTCCTACATCTTTAAATAACAACCTACATTCATACATATTATTGTTATAAGCTTATTCTATCATTTAGAATTATGATTTAGAAAATTCAAATAAAAAAACCATGAAATTTTTACAGGAGCTGTTAGCAAACGTAATCCCTTTATGATTTCAAATGCTGCATCTATTAATTGTTCCTATAGAAGGAGGGTAAAAGGTTTCAGGTAATAATCAGTAACTAGAAAGACCAATGAAAATTTCATGGTTTTATCTGATTTGAATTTTCTGATGAATCTTAATTGTTCAGTTAATGATTCATGGTGAGTTCTATGAAAATAAAATATTCACAGAAATTCCCCTATAAATATTTGAGCTTAACAACTTTAACAAAATATTGCAATAACAATCATAAATATGAATGCTGGTCGTTATTTTAAGACATGGGTACCAAAGAAGATTAGCTAGATTGACAAGCACCTGATAAAGCGCAGAGAGCACAAAAACCAAAATGTGATAATAACAACAAAGATAAAGACAATAACTCAAACGTAAATTATATAAATACTGGTGTAGCCACAAAGTAACCAATATGTATATATTACAACAAAGAGCTGGCCAGAATTATGCCAATATAATATACAGAGTGCGATGAGTAAATTGTCGCAATTTTATCTTTAATCAACAAAGGTATCTTAAATTCATGCAGTCGAGGCACTCAGGAGAACTGCTCATCAGAACAATTGCCATGAAAATATTTATAGAAAAGATAGGGAAGCTATGGTGAGAAAGTGACTGAAGTCAAGATGCCAGGTCGTGACCAATTACAATACAGACACTTCTTTGAATTTTTCCAAGACTCTCGAGATTTATAGTAGGAGCACCAGGCCAGTTATGGCAGCAGTATTCAATGCATGAATGTGTGGTAAATTATATATGCACAAGAACGATTCTGACAAGAAGAATTGTCTTGTAAAACACAGTTGTTATGTCTTCATTCCATTGAATGAAGATAACACAATCATGAAATATAATGTCACTTGGAGTCAATGTAGTCTTACTGAATTCTGTAGTAAGGATATAAGGCTAGCTCTCTCTCGTGTCAATTCCAAGTTTCAATATACATGGTGTGATGGGTAAATTGTTGCCATTTTATATTTTTAATGTCAAACATGCACATTGTTTTTGATTTTGTCAACTGCACAGTATAGTAGGGTTAGTTGAGCACTGTCTATGAGAAAAAGTGGACCATGATTCAATTAACTCCACCAGAAATTTCGAAATGTCATGCTGTACTGCTTGGCATTTGTGCCAGAAACTCCAATATGAACATTTCAAAGTGTTTGGGTGTCGATCTGGAGATAGTACAGAGGATTCAGAAAGAGATAGATGAGTCTAATAGTGATTATGAAGGTGTTTAGAGTGATTGCTATCGATGGCGATGTTATGCTTCCATTCATCTTCCCACAGGGCCTCAGACTCAACACAGAGGCCTACATCAAGTGGCTTGAAGAGGTAGTGCTGCCCTGGGTCAAGCTATTTGACTATGAGGTTGTTCTAAGGCATCAAGCAGGATCCATTGTGTCAAAGCTACATTTTTAATCATCATATTCATCTGTAATTTTCTCTCTCTATTAATGTGACCTCATTCTATTTTTTTTATAAAAAAAAGAAAAGCAAACAAGCAAAGATGGGGAAATTAGTCCAAAGAAAACCATGGATATTAATTTAACACTACGTCTAATAAAACACAGACAAGAAGCATACTCACTGTTGTGCATGGCTGTAGATAAAAAATTAGGATGCAGAGAATCATGATAAAAATTGTATTTGTCAGCAAGTTCAGAAAAAGCCTCTGTCATGGGATCATTGCCAATTACGGCTTTGTAGGGAGAAATGTGTCCATGGGTGGTCACGAGTTTGGTATTAGAAATATCTGAAGAGAAAAAAGAAAATCAAAAAAAAGGAATTATATTAATGAATAGGAAAACATGTAAAGTGGTCAGGAAAAAATATAACTGAAGTATTTTTTTTTTTTTTCAAATTGGGTTTTAGGCATACGGTGTTAACTCATCATTTGTTTTTTGCCCTTGTTATGTTTCTACATCTTGTAGACAACTAGCATAATACTAAGATTATTTATAAATAGATTGACAAATTTTCCTGGGATAAGTGTAGTATCTGTGCACTCCACCCAGCTCTCTAGCTTGCAATATATATATATATATGGATTTTTTTTAATACAATATTTTTTTATTAATTCAAACATTATAGTGTTTAAAACAAAAATAAGCTCAGGCCCACATCACATATGATCACCAAAGTTAAGCAATGATGAGCTTGGTCAGTAGCTTGATTGGTGACCACTTGGGAATATCACGTGCTGTAAGCTTGGATGTGCATGTAGTGTAAAGGATAATGACTCGGAATTAATTGGAGAGCCAAGTTCAAAATCTAGTTGTTTTTCATTATATTCACTTACACACAAAAAAACCTTGGGAAAGATATGAATTCTCTTCTCCTCCCCCAGCTATAGGTTAATTTGCAAGACTTGTACCATTAAACCATTATTATCTTGACAAAAAAAGAAAATTCTTACAATCTAAAACTATTTTGTGGCTTTAAATAACCTGTAAAGGGTTGAAAAACCATTGAAAATTATTATTATTATTAAGTGGTTACCCATCCCGTATTGCACAGAGAACCCTGCCTAAGGTAATACGACTTCAAGGTTGTTAAGTGTGCATAAATATTCAAAATTGGGGCAAACTAGACTAAACTTTGGAACAGCTATGTTTACAGGAGTTGCAAGAAAGTTGTCAGTGTTGACAGCCATCTGCCTTCAGAGCTCCACTTTGAGTTTTCTGTCTGGTTTTTCTTTGGGACAATAGCTTTTCTTTGGGACAACTATGTTTGCAGGAAGTTGTCAGTGTTGACAGCCATCTGCCTTCAGAGATCCACTTTGAGTTTTCTGTCTGGTTTTATATCCATAGCTGATTTTTTCTTTGGGACAGCTATGTTTACAGGAGTTGCCAGAAAGTTGTCAGTGTTGACAGCCATCTGCCTTCAGAGCTCCACTTTGAGTTTTCTGTCTGGTTTTATATCCATAGCTTTTCTTTGGGACAACTATGTTTGCAGGAATTGCCAGAAAGTTGTCAGTGTTGACAGCCATCTGCCTTCAGAGATCCACTTTGAGTTTTCTGTCTGGTTTTATATCCATAGCTTTTTTTCTTTGCAGGGGACAACTATGTTTGTTTTATATCCAGGAATTGCCAGAAAGTTGTCAGTGTTGACAGCCATCTGCCTTCAGAGATCCACTCTGAGTTTTCTGTCTGGTTTTATATCCATAGCTTTTCTTTGGGACAACTATGTTTGCAGGAATTGCCAGAAAGTTGTCAGTGTTGACAGCCATCTGCGTTCAGAGATCCACTTTGAGTTTTCTGTCTGGTTTTATATCCATAGTTTTTCTTTGGGACAACTATGTTTGCAGGAATTGCCAGAAAGTTGTCAGTGTTGACAGCCATCTGCCTTCAGAGATCCACTCTGATTTTTCTGTCTGGTTTTATATCCATGCTTTTTTCTTTGGGACAACTATGTTTGCAGGAATTGCCAGAAAGTTGTCAGTGTTGACAGCCATTCATGTTTTCTGTCAGAGATCCAGCTTTTCTTTGACTATTTTTTCTGTCTGGTTTTATATCCAGCTTTTTCTTTGGGACAACTATGTTTTGCAGGAATTCAGAAAGTTGTCAGTGTTCCATCTGCCTTCAGAGATCCACTTTTGAGTTTTCTGTCTGGTTTTATATCCATAGCTTTTCTTTGGGACAACTATGTTTGCAGGAATTGCCAGAAAGTTGTCAGTGTTGACAGCCATCTGCCTTCAGAGATCCACTTTGATTTTTTCTGTCTGGTTTTATATCCATAGCTTTTCTTTGGGACAACTATGTTTGCAGGAATTGCCAGAAAGTTGTCAGTGTTGACAGCCATCTGCGTTCAGAGATCCACTTTGAGTTTTCTGTCTGGTTTTATATCCATAGCTTTTCTTTGGGACAACTATGTTTGCAGGAATTGCCAGAAAGTTGTCAGTGTTGACAGCCATCTGCCTTCAGAGATCCACTCTGAGTTTTCTGTCTGGTTTTATATCCATAGCTTTTCTTTGGGACAACTATGTTTGCAGGAATTGCCAGAAAGTTGTCAGTGTTGACTGGTTTTATATCCATCTGCCTATGTTTCAGAGATCCACTGTTGATTTTTCTGTCTGGTTTTATATCCATAGCTTTTTTTCTTTGGGACAACTATGTTTGCAGGAATTGCCAGAAAGTTGTCAGTGTTGACTGTCATCTGCCTTCAGAGATCCACTTTGAGTTTTCTGTCTGGTTTTATATCCATAGCTTTTCTTTGGGACAACTATGTTTTTGCAGGAATTGCCAGAAAGTTGTCAGTGCTTTTTGACAGCCATCTGCCTTCAGAGATCCACTTTGATTTTTCTGTCTGGTTTTATATCCATAGCTTTTCTTTGGGACAACTATGTTTGCAGGAATTGCCAGAAAGTTGTCAGTGTTGACAGCCATCTGCCTTCAGAGATCCACTTTGAGTTTTCTGTCTGGTTTTATATCCATAGCTTTTCTTTTCTATGTTTTTGGGACAACTATGTTTGCAGGAATTGCCAGAAAGTTGTCAGTGTTGACAGTTGCCTTCAGAGATCCCATCTGGTTTTATATCCATAGCTTTCTTTGGGACAACTATGAGATCCAGCCATCTGCCTTCAGAGATTTGATTTTTCTGTCTGGTTTTATATCCATAGCTTTTCTTTGGGACAACTATGTTTGCAGGAATTGCCAGAAAGTTGTCAGTGTTGACAGCCATCTGCCATCAGAGATCCACTTTGAGTTTTCTGTCTGGTTTTATATCCATAGCTTTTCTTTGGGACAACTATGTTTGCAGGAATTGCCAGAAAGTTGTCAGTGTTGACAGCCATCTGCCTTCAGAGATCCACTTTGAGTTTTTGTCTGGTTTTATATCATAGCTTTTTTTATATCCAAAGTTGTTTTCTGTCATTGCCTTCAGAGACAACTGGTTTTATATATGCTTTTCAGGAATTGCCAGAAAGTTGTCAGTGTTGACAGCCATCTGCCTTCAGAGATCCACTTTGATTTTTCTTTGAGTTTTCTGTCTGGTTTTATATCCATAGCTTTTCTTTGGGACAACTATGTTTGCAGGAATTGCCAGAAAGTTGTCAGTGTTGACAGCCATCTGCCTTCAGAGATCCACTTTGATTTTCTGTCTGGTTTTATATCCATAGCTTTTCTTTGGGACAACTATGTTTGCAGGAATTGCCAGAAAGTTGTCAGTGTTGCCATCTGCCTTCAGAGATCCACTTTGATTTTTCTGTCTGGTTTTATATCCATAGCTTTTCTTTGGGACAACTATGTTTGCAGGAATTGCCAGAAAGTTGTCAGTGTTGACAGCCATCTTTCAGAGATCCACTCTGAGTTTTCTGTCTGGTTTTATATCCATAGCTTTTCTTTGGGACAACTATGTTTGCAGGAATTGCCAGAAAGTTGTCAGTGTTGACAGCCATCTGCCTTCAGAGATCCACTCTGATTTTTCTGTCTGGTTTTATATCCATAGCTTTTCTTTGGGACAACTATGTTTGCAGGAATTGCCAGAAAGTTGTCAGTGTTGACAGCCATCTGCCTTCAGAGATCCACTTTGAGTTTTCTGTCTGGTTTTATATCCATAGCTTTTCTTTGGGACAACTATGTTTGCAGGAATTGCCAGAAAGTTGTCAGTGTTGACAGCCATCTGCCTTCAGAGATCCACTCTGATTTTTCTGTCTGGTTTTATATCCATAGCTTTTCTTTGGGACAACTATGTTTGCAGGAATTGCCAGAAAGTTGTCAGTGTTGACAGCCATCTGCCTTCAGAGATCCACTCTGAGTTTTCTGTCTGGTTTTATATCCATAGCTTTTCTTTGGGACAACTATGTTTGCAGGAATTGCCAGAAAGTTGTCAGTGTTGACAGCCATCTGCGTTCAGAGATCCACTTTGAGTTTTCTGTCTGGTTTTATATCCATAGCTTTTCTTTGGGACAACTATGTTTGCAGGAATTGCCAGAAAGTTGTCAGTGTTGACAGCCATCTGCCTTCAGAGATCCACTCTGCTTTTTTTTCTGTCTGGTTTTTATAGGTTTTATATCCATAGTTTTCTGTCTGGTTTTTTTTCTTTGGGACAACTATGTTTGCAGGAATTGCCAGAAAGTTGTCAGTGTTGACAGCCATCTGCCTTCAGAGATCCACTTTGAGTTTTCTGTCTGGTTTTATATCCATAGCTTTTTCTTTGGGACAACTATGTTTGCAGGAATTGCCAGAAGTGTTTGTCATCTGTTCAGAGATCCACTCTGATTTTTTTCTGTCTGGTTTTATATCCATAGCTTTTCTTTGGGACAACTATGTTTCAGGAATCCAGAAAGTTGTCAGTGTTGACAGCCATCTGCCTTCAGAGTTTGAGTTTTCTGTCTGGTTTTATATCCATAGCTTTTCTTTGGGACAACTATGTTTGCAGGAATTGCCAGAAAGTTGTCAGTGTTGACTGTCATCTGCCTTCAGAGATCCACTTGAGTTTTCTGTCTGGTTTTATATCCATAGCTTTTCTTTGGGACAACTATGTTTGCAGGAATTGCCAGAAAGTTGTCAGTGTTGACAGCCATCTGCCTTCAGAGATCCACTTTTGAGTTTTCTGTCTGGTTTTATATCCATAGCTTTTTCTTTTGGGACAACTATGTTTGCAGGAATTGCCAGAAAGTTGTCAGTGTTGACAGCCATCTGCCTTCAGAGATCCACTTTGATTTTTTCTGTCTGGTTTTATATCCATAGCTTTTCTTTGGGACAACTATGTTTGCAGGAATTGCCAGAAAGTTGTCAGTGTTGACAGCCATCTGCCTTCAGAGATCCACTTTGAGTTTTCTGTCTGGTTTATATCCATAGCTTTTCTTTGGGACAACTATGTTTGCAGGAATTGCCAGAAAGTTGTCAGTGTTGTCATCTGCGTTCAGAGATCCACTTTTGAGTTTTCTGTCTGGTTTTATATCCATAGCTTTTTCTTTGGGACAACAGAGGAATTGCCAGAAAGTTGTCAGTGTTGACAGCCATCTGCCTTCAGAGATCCACTTTGAGTTTTCTGTCTGGTTTTATATCCATAGCTTTTCTTTGGGACAACTATGTTTGCAGGAATTGCCAGAAAAGTTGCCATCTGCCTTCAGAGTTGAGTTTTCTGTCTGGTTTTATCCATAGCTTTTCTTTTGGGACAACTATGTTTCTGCAGAAAGTTGTCAGTGTTTCAGAGATCCACTTTTGAGTTTTTTCTGTCTGGTTTTATATCCATAGCTTTTCTT